TCCATGTACTTTGAAACATTCTTCATCGACTGGCGAAAACTCCGAGACATTCCGGTAAAATGTGCGCTATGGGGAGCCCAGATACTGAAAAAGTTGCATTACTAGTGCAATGATAGTACACCTGCGGCATTCAAATATAAGTGAGGCATGCTCAACCATGACACGCCACGGCATCTTGCCTAGATCTGAACTCTGTTTCTTGCCGATGCCAGCATGAAGACAGCCCGAATCGCGCCAGCCACCAGACGGCCGGCATTGAGATTCGGCATCACGGCACGGTGGCTCAGGCGAGCTCGGCATCGTCATGAAGTCCATGACTGATCACGGAGAAAAGGTTAGTTGCAATGTTTGTTTCTTTTCGGTCTCGTTGCTCTCTCCTTACACCTACATCAGCAAAGTGCACAAAATAATAGAATACCGTACAATTATAATATGGTGCGTTATCTGGGCAGATAACCTCAGGTTTGAGCCGAGTTGGAGTTTACCGGAGACAGTCTGCATATCTGTGCTGACAAACTCACACCGGGACTATAATAGGTTGACAAGTGCCACCTTTACAGATATTGTTTCGTGCGTTTTGGTGATGTACTAGTTATACAGAGCCTCTAAAATCGACAGACACTAACTAATTTGAACCTTGGCATTCGAACGGCGCAAACGCCGAGACGTTCCGGCCGGCCGTTCTTCAATTAGGGGAAGGCTAACTTTCAGAGAAGTTGCAGATAAGGACCACTGATAGTAAGTGAGAGGGATGGCAGGAGAGAGTGCTGCATCTGTGCGTAGAGCGCGTTCGACGATCAGGTCGTCGAGAAGAGCGCCGTCCTCTGTTGCCTGTCATTGCTCCTGCCAATCTGGTCGTCCACACTCTGTCGCGAATATAGCGCAGCGTCACGCACAATCCGCGGTCGCTCAGCCTGCTGATGCTGACGCCGAGGGGGGTGCTCTCGCACAAGTCGGAGCGCCAAAGCCTCTGAGCACGAACGTGCAGGGGGTCACCGGTCACCCATCCACTCTGTCACGCCCGGCAGCCCTGCTTGTCCTCGGACTCTGGATCCTTCGTACGCGCCTGACGTACTAGTACGTGGGTGCTGTGTGCGTGAACGTTCAGTCCCCGCGCTGCCCCGCCCGTTCTCGTCCATCTTGTGCGTAGAGCGCCCATGCTAGCGCCCAGGTCTGATTATCCTGAAGTCGATCGTGTAGGCGGCCAGTCGCTGGACAATCCGTGGCCTATGCACATTCAAAGCGGCGTGCAGTTGGTGTCTCGCGTGTGGACCCGCGCGAATCGCCCAGCGAGTGAGCATCGTCCACCGTCTTGGTCGAAAGCCGGGAGGTGGTTGTGGCGGGCGGTCCGGGCGTGATGTATCCCCGGGAGACCTGCTCTGGACGCCACTGGACGCCATCTACATGATCACGCCGGGGCGCCAGAGATGCACTGGCCATATGCTTCGCGTTGAGCCACGTCTGCAGTCGATACCTAGTTGGCAGTGTCGACGTCTGGTACGTCCTGCACATTGACTTGTCCTGTATCGGCACCTGGCCGGACAATCACCGCGCCCAGAATGAGACGTGTCGAAGTGCATGTTGCGTGGAAGATACATCCGGGGAGACGAGGGAGGAGGACCGCAGTAAGTACGCACCCTTCCTTGGTGCCCGCTGTCCCGCGCCTCGATTCGAACGGGCACGGCGAGCGCTCCAGACCTCGACCTCGGAGGCTAGAAGCCGGTCGACCGCGCCTTCTGGCGAGGATGCCGTTCTGCGACTAGAATCACTGCGGCAGAGGGGGTGATAGGCATCGATCGAGAGTCCGGGGACGGGCGTGCGGGCGAACAGGCGAGGGTCGTGCATGCCACATGTTGGACGCCGATCTCGCGACGTGACGAGACACGGGAGGGGGCGCTGTGAGTCATGACGCGGATATCGCGGCTGAGACGCACCAGGACCATACGTATTGTACGGTATACTTCGAGAGCTATAGTCGCATACTGAGCCTCGTCGCGAGCGTGACCGGCGCTGTCAGGTGATGGGTCAGCACCTCGTCAGCATCCACTGCCACCCAGGAAGAACATGGAACCAAAGCACTCTGCGACGCCCGAGAACCGCAGCCATCTGCAGTGGGTCCCTGTGTTACGCGTCTGGGCACGCCGCAAGCGTCGTGTCGCACGTTTGGGTGCGTTGGCCAAGTCCGCGGTGTGCGGATACATGATCAATGGCAAACGGCGCATGTACTGCGACGTCGGCGCGGAGGCATATCGCTGGTAGGAAGCGAGAAGGCGGGCTGTACGCATTAGAGCCGCTGGGTTCGACCGCTGTGCGAGTTCAAGTCGAGGGCGAGCATTCGACGCTGCAGCGAGCGAGCGCATGCACCAGGACCACGGTACGGTCACTACAAAAAAATCATCCTTTCGACACTACCAAAAAGCACGCGAAAGGCATTGAAATTGTGTGATGAGACTTTTAATAACGCAATGTAGGGATCTAACCTTTTTCCAAAGTTGAAACTAGCCTTTTGCCTTTCCAAGGCTGCGAAAAGCGCATTTATCAAGCCTTTCACTAAGTCATAAAGTAAGTTTTCTCGAGTCTCGCAAAGGGTCCATTTCCTCCTAATGAGAATGATGAGTTTTTGTGAATGGGTATACTACGAGCCATAGTCTCCACATAGAGTCGGGTCGCGAGCGTGACCAGCACTGTAAGGCGACGGTCAGCACTTTGTCAGCACCCACTGCCACCTAGGAAGAGCATGGAACCAAAGCAGCCTGCGACGCCCGAGAACCGCGGCCATCTGCAGTGGGTCCCTGTGTGACGCGTCTGGGCAGGCCGCAAGCGTTGCGTCGCGCGTTTCAGTGCGTTGGCCAAGTCCGTGGTGTGCGGGTACACGGTCAGTGGTGAACAGCGCATGTACTGCGACGTCGGCGCGGAAGTATATCGCCAGGAGGAGGCAGAAGGGCGGACTGCGCGCACCAGAGTCCGCTGGGTCATTAATTCGAGTGGGAGAGCTGTGCATGCTTCAAGTTGTGGTGTGATACAGCGGGAGCGAATTCGGAGCGTCAGCGTGGGCCGATGCGAGTCTGGCCAGAGCAGACGAACAGAGATCCTGGGAGGCCGGGCGTGACAAGGCACCAGGATGATGCTGTTCGCAATATCTGTTTGAGATAGGTTTGTCTAAATTGGCTCTTGTTCCCAGCGACCACAGCGGCGGGGTGTTGCTAGATCGTCACGCTTTGCCAATGAACGCGGCCATGGCGACGGCGAAATTGCATGACATTGAATGGACCTCGCAACGCATTGGATATGGCCCATTGTGGGGGAGATGAGATGGCTCCAGATCCCGAGCTGGGCCTGGGCTTGGGGAGACTGGCCTCAAATCTGCGCCGGTCCCCGACTCCAACTTTCCAAGCCGTGAGCGTGAGCGCTGTGAGCAGGGGTATGAGTCACACAGATGGTCGTCGCCATCCCGCCCGCGTGGAGGTGTACCTGCACGCGCTCACGGTCAATGCCAGTGATGAGGCAGCGACGCCGGCGGTGTGACGAGCGCGATAGAATCCACTGGAATTCGTGCGTGTGCGTCCTGAGGCCGACGTGTTCCCGCTCGACGCTCACTCAGCCCGGTCGCGATGACTCGTACTCGGGACGTGGCATGCACGGGCACTGGCATCGGGACGCGTTCGTGACGCTCGGCGTGACGGCGCCCCGTGCGTGTGTCACGGTGACGCGCCGTGTTCGCACAGAATGGCGCACCATGACGTCACGCGCACGCACGCCCAGAATGGACCTGCGTCGGGGTCGCCCCCCGTTTAGGCCTGCACGCGCGGCGGGCCCAGGCGCCTCCAGAGCGCTGCGCGGT